GTCTTCAAGGGCCTGGCCCTCGTTCCCTGATCAGCAGAACATCTCTGGAAGAACAATGTTGAAATTTTTGTGCAGAGGAATAGTAAATAGCTCCAGCAGCATCTGTTATTCTGGCTTCACTGGTGTATGTTCCATTGCACTGAACTGCATTATTGAATAGTCTGACTTCAGAATTAAGTAAACACAAGAACAGCTCTGTTGATTCTATCTTAAGAATGGGAATGTATGCTAAGCTCCACCTCATTTATAGAACATGAAGTGATTTTTGCTCTAAGGAGCATCTCTAAGCATCGCTGTTACAGAAATGTCAGTAAGAGCTGGAGGGAGCTCTGTAGAGGTTTGGGACATTGCGGTTTGATGACATTTCCTTTTGGAGGCCGCCTTTTCCTGGCAGCTCCCTGTCCCTAGCTTGCTTTAAAAGAGGCAAAGTCCTGCAGGTATCAGGTATCTGGTATTATCAGCAGGTAAATCCTGGCTGCACTCCCTTGAGGGGTAAACGCCCATTTCTCAAGAGATGCAGGAAATCAGTGAAATTCAACTGAAATGTAACATTGAAACCCTCAGAGAGAAATGCCTGAATTGTATATGGTCTGTTGAGTATGGAGGAGGACCCTCTTCTGCTTAATCTATAGGCACATGCCATTCTGAGCAAAAGGCAGCTATCAGACAAAGTGACTGAGCTCCAGTTACTACTTCGGGAAGAGGAGAGACTGGCAAAAAACTTCATTGATGAAAAGACTCAGCAAGCCCTAGAAGCACATGATCAGCAGTTGGAGTCCTGTCGAGAAAAACTTGCAGCCCTGGAGACCTTCTCCCATCGAATCAGACAAATACAACAGCACAGTGATCCTATTCAGTTGCTGGAGGTGGTATTGTATGGTCTCTTTCTACCTCTTATCCTCATAGTGCCTGGTGATCTCCGCTGTAGATCCTTCTGTATGTAACCAGCGTTTTTCTCACTGCTTTTTCATCTTCTTTTTGTTGGTATTTTGATGAACCAGTTTAGTTCCTGATTTTTGAGCTGTTAGATGTTCCTGCTATGGCATTGATTTCAGGTCTGTGTGAAATTCATGTTAATTTTAAGCGTATATGGAACAGAATTATGTATATCTCTTCATCTTGAAGACAAACACTGTACTAGATCTTTCTTTGTGCAGTGTAATATGAAGGTCTGAGGAAAGGCAGCCCTCTTGGGAACTTGATAAGGAAGCCTGAATTGTCTCATTTCTTTAATTGCAAGAAATCCTAATCACCCGAGCAACAGCCATCATTTTACTGGAGGGGGGTGTTTTTCTTTTTACCTACAGATAAACGTCAGCCTCTTTTTCCTAATAATCTTCTTCACCTTACTTGGAGGGGTGTGTTGCTGTGTGCTTATGCCCTGACACAAACCAAAGGATGCCATTCTTCATGAGAAGGCTTGTGGTGCTTGTTTACATCCTTGCAACTTAGCAGACTTGAGTGTTTGCATTGTTGTGACTGATATGGTCATGACATTCTGCTGTGTGTGCTAGCAACATAGGTTCATATGGGAAGCTGCTCTTCATGGTTTTGGAGGGACTTTTTGTGGGGAAGGTTGGATTTTATTCTTTAGATGGCTTTGAAAACTTAGTGGTTCAATTTTCCCATTGTTGGGATTTCCCACAAAAAGTCCTAACCAGGTTAAACTCATTTCTATCTTGGAGTGTCCTGAAGGGGCCTGTTTTAAACATGACTGCTGGGTTTTCTGTCTCTGGGGTAGCCCCTGGCTCCACTGGCAGGAGAAGCTAATGGGCAGGCCGAAGAGCTAATAGGCAGGCTGAAAACAGCAAGGCTTGCCCGTTACGGCCCGTATGTTTACCTAATGATGGAGCTGTCCTTGCTTTCTGGTGTGTGGGAGCTGGGAGGAAAGAGTCCATTCAGGTCACTGGCTCTACTAATTTGAGAATTTGGCTTTCTGTCCTCAGAAGTACGCAGAAATCGAGAAGGAAATGCAGGAGCCCAGGCACCTGTTAGAAGAGTGGCATCCGATACGTCTTTCGTTTGAGCACATACTTAATCATTATAAGCACTTTGTGACAGTTCTTCAATCCGTTCTACAGAAACCACTGGAAGCCCGGCTTAAAGAAGGTACCTGGAAGAGTGCTGTGAATTTTGCTTTCTCCTGCTCTCCTTTTAAATAAAGGGTGGTCTGAAACTAAGAGCAGGACTTTCTCCAAATCAGCTGGAGAAAATAGCAGCTTTTCAGGCATGGGTGCTGTTCTCTGACAGCATTGGTGTAATGTTGCTATAGCAGTGGTGATTTAGGAACAAAAGAGGTTTCTCTTTCAACTCTGAAGATGTCCTTTTGTGCCATAAAGTTTGTCTGATGCTTTTTTCCAGCTTTATCAGTTATTTCAATACAGCTTAGTTCTACCTGCAGAGCTTATCTTGCTTATATTTCTAGATCATCACACCTACACAACGTAGCTGTTCTCTCCTTTCAGTCACTGTTGGGTGTAAGTGCTCTGGCAGGACGTCTGGCAGGCATGGAACTTGGGGTACCTGTAAAATTTAACAGCTTTAGAAAAAGCTGTTGATGTAACTGATGATCTTTCTGTCTCAGGCAGTCTGAAGAATTCTCTGGTTTTTGGTACTGTAAAGGGGGCTTAAAATGTTCTGCTTAGAGCTCCTTTTGTCTTTGAGCTGGTATTTCATCCTTAAGTGACCTTTGGCATGATTAAAGCAAGGAGTTTCCTAATGGGACACAGAGCCACAAAGCCAAATAGCACTGGGGAAACTCTGCTGCTTATTGAGTTACAGGTGAGCAAGGCTATGCCGGCCATCGCATTTCACCCAACTACCTTTTAATAATCATTTTTCTGAGAGTTGCCACCAAGAACAGTGTAGCAAGGTGCTGGGGAAAATAGACCAGATCCAAAAGACCACTGCAGGATGTGTGGCGAATTGCTGGATAGTACCATGCAGGTGCTCTGTAGCTAGCATCTGTAGTTGTCTGCAGCTGCCTAACTGTTCTCGTCTGATAGAGGGGTGTTGTTTGAGGAATGAGAGGTGCTTGCTTGTGGTTGTGCTCGATTGTGTAGTTCCTTGGCAACATGGGGATCCAGCATCTCCATGCTATCAAAGAGCAAAAGGTTGAAAACGTACAAAAGTAAGTAGCCCTTTCCCAAGCAAAAGTAAAACAGTTTGTCCCATGAGGTTGGGAAATGGAGTGTGACAATATTATCTTCCCCAGGACATGGGTGGAATTCACACCAAAGAGGCAAAACCCAAATACACTGTCCACCAAAATTGTCCGTAGTGCTTTATTTTTAACATCTTCTGGACAGTACAGCCATGTTCTTCCACTGGCAGACTCCCTAAACTGTCCCTTTTCATCTCTGCCCAGACGTTTTCAGCAGCCTTAATGCCACTGTAAAGAAGGAGCCTGGAACAGTGTTGAAAACCATGTCTCGTGTTGATCGGTTGCTTTTCTTAAAACGTAAGTATGGTTGACAAAAGTTAGAAGCACTCCAAACACTTATGGCTCAATCACTGAAACAGTCAATGAATGTGTGCTGTCACTATCTTAAAATGGTATCTTTAAAGGGTTCTGGTATTTACAGTGTTTGCAAGGATGAAGTGCTCAGCAAGTCGTTACTCTCTTCCATACCTCAGGTGGGGAAAGAAATTTTACTTTCTGTCTGTAAAATCTCGATCCTTTGTTTTCATTCAGAACTGCCAGTGTGTAAATCAGCTGGTGGTTAATATAGTTTTTGAAGACTTTTCTGTTCTCCCAATCATTGTTGTCTGTCTTGAGGTGTTAAAGGGTCAATCTACAAATGATCCTTTCCTCTTGTGTTGTTAGGAGAGATGTACAGTGAATTGTTTCATCTCTCTGATGGGAAGCTCATGGATATTTCACGTGGCCTGCATCAGATCAGGGCTGTAGCTGTTTTTAATCTCAAAGCTGTTAACATTCTCTGTTACGATGGTACCTGGTGGCAAAGGCCTGTTGTAAGGGAAGGTCTGTTTTCTGGCCTGGATCCAGCCCAGCGGAGGCCACTACTGTGGCTGAATGGACACTTGACTTCTGGCTGTTACTCAGTACAGAGGGCAAGGGGCAGAACTGTGCTGGTAGAGTGGGTTAAATGCTGTCCCTGCACTTATAGGCTGGTGTGTTTTGAGAGGCATATTTTTCAGTGTTGTTACCTTGTCTTGTTTCTGTGCTCTCCTGAGTGAGCCTCTAAGTCCAAACACTGCAACTTTTTCATTCCAAACAGGTTGTCTCAACTGGAGATAACAGGTGTTGCACTTGTAAATGCAGCGCCTGTTAAGAAATCAGGAATGCAACAAACAAAGCCTGTCTTCTTGGCTTTGATGTCATGGGTCTTTCCCACTTGCGTCATTTATGTGCTGCAGGATCCAGACTGAATCAGTCGTTTTTTAAGTGGAACCTGTTAAGGTGCTGGGACAGCCAGTCCATGGCACTGAGCACTTGCTAGTAAGAGAGCATTTGGCTGGCAGTGAGCTAGGCTGCTGAGCTCATGAGTGCCACTCTGTATCTGCTTCTGGCTGCCTCTTGATGGATTCATGGAGAAAACAGTGTATTTGCTTCACAAACACTTTAAAGGCTGAAAAGCCGATTTCTCAACTCTGTTAAAACTAAGTATTACAAACCACCTCATTTAGAGGTGCTATGAGTAGCTGAAATTGACAAACCTTGATCATAAATATTTGGACTTAAAAGTCACCTAAAATTTTCATCACTTAGGAAAAGTGGAAGAATTGTAGTCCTCCAGTAATCCAAACAACTCTAGGTGGTTTACACTATTTTTCTAGTCAAATTCACATTTATGCTTCCAAACATTAGCCCCTGGATGCAGTTCTGTCCTTGGGTTTTTGTCTGTTTTTTTTTTTTTACATCAGTGGAGGTATTTCTGTTTGCTTGAGATTTAGTGGTTACGTATTTTTCAAAAATCTAGTTTTTCAGGTAAATTTTACAGACATCACTACTTATTTGCACAGCTTTTCAAGTGCATACTGGAAAAAGCAGACACTGAAGCCAGGCCTTTTAAATCCTCCCTACTTCAAATGTCTTTTGGTCTTGATGTCACCTGTGTTCTGAACAAACTTAGCATCCCCATTGTTTACCTGCTGGAAGTGACTTGGAACAAAGACTCAGGACAGTCCGTCCTTCACAAGATAGGATCCTGTAGTGTGCTGTTGTTTACCTACATGAATAATTCCTGTTTCCTGTCTTTTTGTCAGCAGCTATGCACACAGATGTGTCTTAGCACCTATTCAGACCACATGAATGCCAATACTAGCTTTTCTAACTAAAGTGTAGTGGACATCACAGCAATAAGGTGTTGCGTGTGTGAGGTGTACCCTGTAGTGGTACACTTTTGAAGTTTTAACATTGTTTACAGACATAATACCAGCATTAAAATCATACAGGCCTTCTTTTTGTTTAGAAAATGGTCATGCTTCAGTTAACACACTGCATGTACAGTGCTATTTGCTTCTCCATTTTTTTGCAATATATAGGTACAGGTTGCAGGGGGCAGAATATCAACAGTGGGCTCTCTAGCACCATGACATGCATTTCACACATCAGCAACTCTCTCCACATGTCTTTGCCTCAAACAAAGCAACGGCTCCATTTCTGATACCCAGGTGTGTGCAGTGATCCTACCCAGATGAAGATGGTGATAGTATAAAACTGTGTATAAAACATCTGATAGTGGTGCATCACTGGTTCCTGTATTTTAAACATAGCTGATGTTAGGGGCCACAGCAAGGCAAGGAGGAGATGTAGGGTCCAGCTGTATCTTACAGTCATAATGCATGTGTACTACTTTCTTTTCTGAAACATTACAGACAAGTATAGAGGGTAAGTCTCTGTTGCAGTTAACTTTGCAAATGTATGTATTTGCCATCTAGCATTTAAAACACCTAGGCTTCAAAGTTTATCTAGATTAAGATTAAAATCACATTCAGGTAAAAAAAAATAAACAACTATGAAATGAGTGAAATATGACTCAGTTTTCATTGCAAACGTACTGTTCACTTCTCATCTGGATGTATTGTTATACTTTGTTTTCTTCATTTACAACAACAACAAAAAAAGAGGTGCTCATTATTTGGAATAGTTTTAGCATATAAGTTAAGTTTACATCTTACTGCCAGTACTCCAGACAGTACTGTAATTCATGACAATGTGTGTTCTTTTACTTACCCAACTCTGGCGCTGGTTTTATCAGGCTTGACAGTAAGAGTGAAGCAGATTATTTAAGAATGCCAGATCATGTTTTCAAACGGAGTATCTTGGTTATTTCTAGAACATGAATTCAGAAAACACATGCTAATACACTGAGTAAATCACTGAGAGTGTATTATGAAAACTTTTGTGATAGTCTATATTGAGGTTGTAGGACAGTGTCTTTGGAGAAAAATCTCAGCTTAAAAATCCTTTTTGACCTGCCCTGTGTGATTGTGTCATTTCAAACTTGTTTAAATTTGACTACAGAGTTTTTTTTCCTGGCTTTGTGATTTCCAGTTCTGCAACAGCTACTTTATGGTAAAAATATTCCAAGATGCTGGTGACCAAGACAGTGATTTCTAGGCTGTATGTTCAGACTGTGATTTTTCTTTTCTAAATGTCAGGGTAGGTGAACTGCTATGAATCCTCTGGGAGCTGGTAAGTTGTTCCTTTGCAATGTACAGGATGCTGCTGCTCAGAGCTGTAATGCCTCTATGAGAAACAGACTTATAGTGCTTCTTCAAATGGCATTTCAGTGGAATGGGATCTCACAACCCAAGAGTCTGCTCCTGTGCTCTCTAAAACTCTTAGGCTGTAATCCCACCAGAAGTCTCCAACTATTCTGTTTTTTTTTTTCCCTTTTTTAGCCATATTCATCTTCTCATGAACCATGCATTTATTGACTTACATACTGACCTGCTTTAAAGTTTATGCAACTTTAAAGCACCAGTGCATATAAATAGTGCAGTGCTTTCAGTTAAAAATGTCAGGCTTTTTATAACTTGGATTTCTTTCAAGAGTTGCAATAAATGTAGTATGGTTATGGTTTTGACTGCAGATGCAAGATCACCAACTTGGGAATACGACAGCCTTCACCCAAGGCTGAAATTGTCTGATGACCGTCTTGTAGTAAGCTGTAATTGGAGGAGGATCTTTTACCCCTGTGGTCCCCAGAGATTCGACAAACTATGGCAAGTGCTAAGCAGAGATGCATTCCTCTCTGGGAGCCATTACTGGGAAATTGACCTGCTTCATGCTGGAGTAGGATGGTGGATTGGTGCAGCCTACCCTTCCATTGGCAGGAAAGGAGACTCTGAAACCTGTCGACTGGGCTGGAATAGGGCATCTTGGTGCCTTAAGAAGTTTGATTTTGAATACTGGGCGTTTCACAAAGGGGAGAGAACCCCCATCCAGATAGAAGATGATCCTGATCGCATTGGCATTTTTCTGGATTATGAAGCAGGAATCCTTTCATTCTACAATGTTACTGATTGTATGGCTCATTTGCACACCTTCCGCTGCAGGTTCACAGAACCAGTTTACCCAGCCGTAAGGCTCTGGGAAGGGTCCATCGGAATATGCAAACTAACATGAGGAACAAAGAAAAATAAAGCCTACTATTTCATGCTTTTTCTATGAAATCCACTTTATCAATGATCTACACGAATTAATCTCTGTCATATGAAAGTTTTAATTGCAATGCTTTTAAAAAGTAGGTTAAGTTCAAGAAAACCAACTGGCATTTTTAATGTATATATATTTTTCAATGGGGGAAGGTGATCTGTTTTTTATAAACTATATTGATATACCACCTAATATGCCAGATATAATAGTGTTTGTACTTTTTTTTCAACCTGCAAAATACAGAAAGTCTAGTTGAAAGAAGCTTATTGCAACTCAGATTTGAACCTGGATATTGCCTTTTTTTTTTTATGAACTCCCTCCCATCGTCTGCCTGGAGGGGGTGCAATTGCGTACGGTAATTGGTTTAGGTTGGTTCAAGCTTCAAGTTCATATATTGCATAGTGTTATAGTTCACAAGGTCAGATTTGGATAATTAAGTGAATTAGTTCATACTCCAGTATCATCTCAGAAAAATCAAAGACTGGCACTGACTGTTGGAAAGGTCCCTTCAAGTAAAGCTGAAGTAAGAGCTTCTCTAGCCACAGTTAATAGCTATTAGGTGGTCTAACTCTAACTTGTAACAGGGACTCTGAACCTGGGCTCCTGGGTGGCCCTGTTCTTCCTGTACAGAGTGGAAGCACAAGAAACAGTTGTGTACCATCCCCCATTGAAGATGAAATGCCTGGAGGACCCACAGGTGCAATAAGAATGCTAGGTCAGTGGGGCACTTGTGCTTAAAGAGCCTTTGCAAATGGGACACAAATTAACTGCTGCTGAATAAAGGTATGCTCACATAAAACTAGATGACAGCTTGCAAGTTTCTGTATAGGGATACTTTTTTTTTTACCCCAATACATTAATTGAAGTCCTGCTGTTTACAGCAGCCTCTAGGACCAGACCTGCTGAAGTGAAGAACCACTGCTACTTGAAGCAGGTCAGGTAATCTTATGGGGTTCAAATACCAAAGGCCCTGGAATCATTGTTGGTGCTGGTGAAGGCAAGGTCTGACCGTAGGCTGAAATGAAAAAAACAATGGCTTGTTTTATAAGCTAAATTTATTTTTCAAATTTGAAATTAAAAAAAAATCTTTTAACAATGGAGTAGTTTTTAAAGTAAGGCAAGCATATTGCATCAACCAGAGCTCACATACAGTCAAGCACATGATTCAGAGAATCTCTTCTTCCCAGTTTAAAGATACAGTTTTCTCAGAATTGCAGAACGGTGAACGTTTTGAAAGTAAACAGCTCACAGGTACAGAAACACCACCACCAAATTCAAGCTACTTTACCAGCTCATGACCATGAGGTAGCAAGTTCCAAATAACCATCACTAGTAAATGATTCCACCACAGAAAAGCACAGATTAATTATACCAAAGCAGTTCTGTGCTAACCAAGCCAATTGAGGGACACCTAGTTTGCAGCTTCTGCCATATGGCTCCTTCCTGAACAAGGAAAGAGCAGCAGGCTGACAGGAGTGGGATTGCATTTGTTACTTGAAAAGTGAGAGGCTGTGATGCAAGAGCAGAGCACACAAGAGGAGCACTGACCATCATCATGCTGAAGCCATGATGTCATCTAGTTAAGCAGCCAGCCTTAGCTGTCTCAGTGTTGGAAGAAAAAACTCAACCCAGTCTATTTGCTTGTTAGCACAAGAAGGAGGCTGCTGAATCTTCACCAGCATTTGGCTTCCTACCTGAGAGGCTGCCTACAGGTACAAATAGAGGTATCCAAACGCACTGCAGAATTGATTTAAGATTCCAGGCTTCACTCAGCTCACAATAGATGCTTTTGACATTTTTCTGAAGCATAGGTTAAGTTTATTTCCACTGATCCATCTCAGCTATTTTTTCAGCCCTTTAAAAAGTCTCAGGATAAAGCCCTTTGCTTTATCTTGAGACTTTTTATCTTAAGACTTTTTATCTTAAGGGTTGCATGTGTCGTTTTCTGGTCAGCGTATGCAAACTTCCACTTACTTGCATTCAGTTCCAACTAGCATCCTGTTATCACAGGGGCGACGAAAACAGCAGAAAAGAGGAACATCAAAAAGATACGGTGTTAGAACAATTCAAAGTGTAGACAAAATTATTGTGATTTAATGTATTCTTACCAGAAAAGGGAAGCTGGAAAGCAGCAGACTGTGGTCTTAGATTTGGCAAAACTCCAAATTAATCTAGGTTAAGTGGAATGGAGAAAGGAGGAACATGATATTTTCTAGATACAAAGCTATACTGTTTCTAATGAAATATGAAATATGGAATAGAGTGCTTTGGTTTAGCACTTCACTTTTTTGACATGATTTTCCACTGCTTGCTCAGTGATGGTTTCATCTTCTTCAATATTTTTTTTAACCTTCTGGCCCACCAGGTCGAAGATGGCTTCTGGGGGAAATCCCTTAGGCTCTCCCACCTTCACTGTCAGCATGTCAAGTGTCAGTACTGTACCTTCAGGAATTGTCACTTTTGCCACAACAGACTTTCCCAGCTACAGGGGACAAATGAAAAAAAAAGTCAAACACATTCCTAGGCTTAGTATACCAAAAAAGGCTAAAAAATATTCAGCAGTTATTTGGAAACAGGTTGTGTGGAACTGCCCTTCCCATTGCTGTTTATTCCAAATGAAGGTTGAGTTATCATGGAAGCCTTTGCTGTAACTAGGCTGCTGGGAACATCCAGACCCTTTCTGAAATTGGATAATGGTATACTAGAATTTTTCAGAATCAAAATGGAGAGAATCTGATTAGATTGACTAGTGTTTTAGCTTAGTGTAAAAACAGCTTGTATACAGTCACAGAGACCTATTACTCCTTTTACTATCTCCGAGTACTTTGTATTCGGCACTGGTGAGACTGCACCTCAAATGCTGTGTTCAGTTTTGGGCCCTACACTACAAGAAAGACATTGAAGTGCTGGAACGTGTCCAAAGAAGGGCCCAGGATGACTTCTGTGGAGAGAGGACTATGATCTGAGAGTTGTAGAACACTGGAACAGGTTGCCCAGAGAGGTGGTGGATGCTCCATCCCTGGAGACGTTCAAGGCCAGGTTGGATGAGGCCCTGAGCAACCTGACCTAGTTGGAGATATCCCTGTTCCTTGCAGGGGGGTTGGACTAGATGACCTTTGAAGGTCCCTTCCAGCCCTAACGATTCTATGATTCTGTGATTCTATGAAACAATTCCGCAGACACCAAGGTCAGTGAAGATGGAGCGGGAGGAGGTGTGGCGGAGCTGGGATTCCCCTGCAGCCTGTGGGAGAGGACCCCATGACAGAGCAGGCAGCTGCACCTTAAGAAGCCATGACTCTGTGGGAAAAGCCTGTGCCAGAACAGCCTGGTGGCTTATGACTGGATTCTGCAGGGAGAACTCACATGGGAGAAGTTCATGAACTGTCTCCTGTGGGAAGGAACCCCATGTTGGAGCATGGGAAGAGTATAAGGAGTGTCCCCTCTGAAGAGGGAGGAGTGGCAGAAATGTGTGATGAGCTGACTGATCTGCAACCCCCATTCCCCATCCCCCTGCACCGCTGCAGAGGAGAAGGTAGAGCCGGGAAGGGAAGAGGGAGGAGTGATGGGGAAAGTGTTTTTAAGATCTGGCTTTGTTTCTCATGATTCTCTCTGAAGTAACTGATAACGGATTAAATTGATTTGTGCCCAGACTGGTGGGTGATCCCTCCCCCTGGTCTTATCTCAACCCTCAGGCCTCTTATTACATTGTTCTCTTCTCCACCCAGGGGCAGGAAGTGGTGGGCAGAGTGAGGGAGCAGCTGCGTGGTTCTTAGTTGCCGCCTCGGGCTAAACCACGACACAGTCTGAAGAGTTTCAGCCATACGTGAATCAAAAGCGAAAGTTACCTTTTCATTGCAAGCCATTTCACAAGGCAAGAGTTGTTTGACTGGAGAGCCCATTGCTTTTTCCACAGTACGGATGGCTTTCACTAACTCTGCCAGTTCATTTGGCTCCAGGGATGCTTGGTGGTCACTTCCTTTCCAGGTTTTGTCGAGAGTCACATGGCGTTCCACTACTTTAGCACCCATAGCAACAGCTGCCACTGAAATGGCTATGCCAGTTTCATGCCCCGAATAGCCAATGGGGATATCAGGAAAAGCTGACTGATATGCCTTGAATCATAACAGAGTTGGTCTGAATTACAAGGTAGCAATTTCAAAGACAAAGCAAATTTAACAGTGATAACTGCAATAGAAACTGTGGACAATTACTGTGCCACAAAACAAGCATGAATTTTTTTTATACTGAACAAGTCATCACTGCATTATCAACCATCATGTTTTAAGAATTTCACTAAGATTATCAATACTGACATGAAAAAGGAAGTATGTTGTATTCTACAACTTCTCTTATTCTTTTCCTTTTATTTCAGTTGTACTCTTCAAGGTCATCAAAGCCTACATCACTGTAAGTTACAGTAACAGAATAGTGCTCTATTTTCATCCAAGAATCTAGTGGACTGATTAAACTTAACCTGTATCCAAAGCAGGTTTCTTCAAACCATATTTAAAATCTGAAGCAATCCTTTCAGCCATACACAGGGGACACTCACCCAATCCTAAAGGCAATTAAATGCTGCCATGTCCCATACTACTAGAAATAACATACTACGCGTTCAAAAAGCTAGACAAGTGATTAAACACTAGTTAATGATGCAAGAAAATTTTCCCGAATTATCAGGCATATCCAAATCATATTTTCAGCAAAGGAAACTATACAAGGGCCTAAACTATTGTCGTCATTGCTCTGATAATTCACATGAAGTGTTTTAAACAAAAGTTTCTGGTCTGGCACCCTATTTAGAATTAGGTTCCCAATTCCATGCATCTTCTTAATGGTAAGTGTACATCATTTTTGTTTGCACTACAAAGCACAGGGTTAACCTGTTAACCATATGTCATATTTTTCTCTGTTTAACTGCGAATACTCCTGTCTTATCTTTTATCATATTCCTCAAAGCTGAGTTCTGCTAAAACACGAGCCAATAGGTATTTTTACTTCAACATTTGCGTGAATTAGAGGAACATGACACATCTTTTGGCTTCTCAGAAGCAAATTCC